GGGAGTGGGCTCTGAAGAGGAGATGGTGGGGGTGAACATCACCTTTGGTTCACAGTCTCCTAGGCATAGAAACAGCCTTTGCATGATTGATGCATTCTAGCTGGAGCAGCACAGGGTTGATAATGATGGCATCCACTATGCACAGTTGATGAAGCAGAAGATGTGGGAAGGCATGGATAAGATGAGAGTTGGACACTCATTTTTTTTTTTCCTGAATGCCTAGTTCTGGGATTCCCACTTATCTTCTGTTTGTATCTCTACTCCTTTTCACTGTTATGCAATAGCAGTATTTTCAACTAAGAGAATTTATATTTGCTTTGAGGAAATTCACAGTCATATCAGTTGCTATTCTTTCTTTCTTTCTTTTTTTTTCTGTGCAGGTCACATTGAGCTCTGTCTGTGCCCCCACTGCTGTCTTGTATTCCCAGGGTAGAGATCAACAATAAGGAGCCCATCCTTACCATCCACAGCAATGTCCATAACCCAGGCTGGGCCATGGAGATCATCCAATTATTGGAAGCAGATTTCAGCACTGCTGGTCATCTGTGCTCTGAGCCTGATGCTGGTAGGCCATTCCTTTTCTGGGTCTTAGGCAAGCCCAGCTGTCCTAGTCTGCCTTAACTGGAGCTGATGGCCACAACTCCTCCAGCTGCCCAGGCCTATTACTCCCTCCTGCCTTTCCCAAGCTGCCCTCTCAGGACCTTCATGCCTGCATGTTGAGGGCTCTTCCTCTGATGTTGCTGTGTCTCCAGAGGCCTTCCCACAAAAGATCTCCAAGTGAGTATTGTTAATTCTCATTTTCTCTGCTGGGTCACTCTGTGTGTCTAGATGAGCACATGAGCTCTGACAGGGGTACACTGTAGAGCTGTTGACTGTGCTGGAGGAGCTGAGTTCTGGATCCTGATTTGGAAGGTGATAGAAGCAAGATGAGCATTTGGAACTTCCACAACAGTGTCGTCAGACAGCCTGAAAAGGCTTACGTTTAAAACTAGCAAGGAAACAGTTACAAAGAGCTAAATTCTAGCAAATCTTGAAATTGGGCTTTTTATAATGTCTCATTAGTGTCAAAGTAAATTTAGGCCCCCTTCACTTTATTCTACTTATAGGTATTACAGATTTGTAAATTTCACAATGACAGGATAGCAATAATTAGTAGTATTAAAATCACTAAGTTGGTGGTGCTGTATTATAGCAGTCATTAAAAACACATAGATGTGTGTCATCTCATGGTTGCAAACTCCTATGTTGGTTGCTCTGAAGTTTCTGACCTGGACCAGTTTTCTAAACTGCATATTGTAAATAGCCAATCATGTACTTAAACTACCCATTGGGATGTGTAACAGGATCTTGTCATGTCTAAAATGCAACTTCTTAAAGTGCTTCCTACACATCTTCCCACTCCAACAAATGTCACCTCTATCCTATTTTTCCTGATTATAAAACTTTAGTTTAATCCTTATCTAATTTTTTTTCCTTCCTCATACTCTTCTTAGCATGTATTGATCTGCTTTTTTATTATTTATTTTTATTGGAAGGGCAAATGTACAGAGAAGAGAAGAGACAGAGAAGATATTCTGTCTGATGATTCACTCCCCAAGTGAGTGCAATGGCCGGTGCTGCGCCAATCTGAAGCCAGGAGCCAGGAACTTCTTTCCAGGTTTCCCACATGGGTACAGGGTCCCAAGGTTTTGGGTAGACCTCCCTCGACTTCTTTCCCAGGCCACAAGCAGGGAGTTGAATGGGAAGTGGAGCTGCTGGGATTAGAACCGGTACCCATATGGGATCCCAGCATGTTCAAGGCAAGGACCTTAGCTGCTACACTATGGTGCTGGGCCCTGTACTGATCTGTTTAATTCAGTGTTTAAATACATGCGGAGATTTTCATTGTAGCAGTACTAACTCTTACCTGTAGTGGATGCATTTCTAGATCCCTTGTGGATGTGTGGAATTATAGATACTGTCAAATCCCATATAATGTGTGCTCTATTTTTCCTGTGTATACATACTTAGGAGAAAGCAAAATTTCTAAAATAGGTACAGGAAAGATTCAAAATAATTACACAATAAAATAAAACAATTATTGCAATGCAATCTAATAAAAATTATGACTCTCGTGCCTTACTCCAAATATCATATTGTGCTATTGTTGCCCTCTTGTGTTATAGTGGGATAATGCAACACTTACTTGATGAGGTGAAATGAGGTAAAGAGGCAAGTAATGTGATGTGATATTAGACTTCTACACAGGAGAATTTCTGAACAGAAGAATAGAATATATTTCAACATTGATCTCAGAAGCAATATGATTATCCCATGGCTCCCTGTGAATAGAATGTAGGGCATGGATACACTGGACAAAGGGAGGATTCAGATTTAAGACAGAGAGTGAGGTGGGATGTCAGCTCAGGAAGGAAGAAAGGGCAGGTGACAGTTGGGATTTGGGTGTGGGAGTGAGAGACCCTGGTTTTGTCTGCAGAGAGGACTTTTCTGAGAGGTCAGTACGTGGTGGATTCAGGTCAGGTCATGGTCGATTTGTTCTGCCTCCATATTGGGGGGTGCCTGCAAGGTCTGTCACTCTACCCTTCTGAGCTCCACCCCTGGGTTACAGAAGAGCAAATGGGCTCTGCAAGCACAACCTTTCATATTTCCTTGCCTCTTCCCTTCCTGATATTTCCTCTGCAGCTACATAGCCAGTAGCAGCTACTAAGGGTCACAGCTTTGAAGCCCCTGCTCTCCATTGGGCTTCAGCTCCCTCTTCAGTGAGTGTCTTGGCTTCTGGGAAGGGAGAGAAATTGGGCAGGCTAGATTGGCTTGGGGTTTTGAGTGCTTCAGGGCTTTTGGGACCTGTATTGTGGGGAACAAAAGAGAAAACAACAGTGTGTTAACTGACAGGTGTAGCTGCCTAGGGTAGATAGAAATGGGAAGGAGGGAGACGGCATCTGGTGGTGGAGGAAGGGCGGGGTGTCAAGGACCCTTACCAGATAACTTTCTATGGATAGGCAAATGTAGGCTTTCCCCATTTCTACACAGAATGCATTACATTATATGGAGTTGTCAGCATGCATATGGCGCTGGTGTGATAGGAATAATGAAGAGAAAGAGAGAAAGAAGGAAGGGAAGAAGGAGAGAAAGAAAAATGAAGGATGGAAAAATAAAAGAAACCTAGAATTTTTAATTTTAGATATTGGTTATCTGGCACAAGATGGAAAGAGAGTTTCAAGGTGACAAAGACCTGACAAGAATGAAATTGATGTCCACTTCTGGCCTCAGTTCTATGTTATTGACCAGGACCTGAGCTGGGCATTGCTCTGTCTCCATACAAGAAGTCAGTCTGATGCTCTAGGGCTGGATACATAAACACTATAACACAGAAAAGTCATCTAGAATTTAAGTGAGTTTTCAACTCTATCTTGTGAGACCAAACTGCCCCCTGAAAGGCGGCAAAACATTCTTGAAGCTCCTGCTAGGCTGGGCTGAGGTATATATGATGTCTACCACATCAATTGACCTTCGTGGCCACCAGCTCTGCCCCATGTTTGCACTGACTGCTGCTGAGCCTTTTGTGCCTCTTTCAGAGCGGGGTTCCCAGGCTGTGGCCCCTTCCCCTATCCTGTACAACAGGACAATTCTTCCTCTTTCTTTCCCTCCACCTGCACTTGTCTTTTTCTGCCTCTGTCTTTGACAGTAGCTTCAGGGTTTTTTGTCCTCAGACCCACTGCTGAAAGATGCTATTGCCCCGCCATGCCACACTGCCCCCACTGTGTGGAAACTTGGTGTGCAAGGCAGTTTGTGGACCAAGTCTTGCGACAGGTTGGCTGGACAGAGGCAGCTGCTAAAGATTCAGCCAGACCAACAGAGTTCCTGCCTGGTTAAAGGAAATACAAGCTTCTTTCTTGATAACCCTTCTCATGATGCCGGAAGGGAGAAAGACAGACATTGTTTGGACAGACATTAACTCCTTACATTGTAAGGAGTTAATCAACTCCTTAGTCCATTAACAACCCTGGACCTTGGAGCTCATGTCAGAGTTGTAGGGACTCTGAATGTAGAGCAGCTCTGTGGTCAAGGCTCCATAGTCGCTTGTCTCTTTTCCCAACTCAAATCAGCTCTAAGACTATTTTACCTTGGATAGCAAAATTCAGATCAGGATTTTTGCTTAGCCACTGAGTAGTATAAAATAATGCTAGAGTTGAGTGCTAGAGTTGAACTAATACTCTTTGTGGAAGGATACAAGGGATGCACCCATCTCTACCCTGTGATTCTGTGCAGAAGATGCAATCTCCACTTGGAATTCCATACTGTGTATCTTGTAGTTTTATATACAAAATGGATTACACTGTATATTATTAACTACGCTATCAGAATGGCAATGTGCTGTGTGAGTCTATACCAAGTCTATGTGTATCACAGGCTGGACAGACCGAGTGTAAGTAAGTATAGCCATTATGATGTTCAACTGGAGATGAAAGTGCCTAACAATGCATTTCCCAGGACATATTCCTCTTCTTCATCTCTTCATGAGTTAATGGGCATTAGAGTGGTTTCCAGTTTGCAATGCTATGAATAAAACTGCTGAACATGTTTTCAATACCTGTGTGTGGCCTCACGATTTCATCTCTTGAATATGTACACAGCAGTGGAATGGAGTTGTTGGGCTCATCTTGTGAACTACTAAAAAACTACTCATTGGTTCTCTCCGGACATTTTTACCACTTCTACATTCCCCAAGGAATGTCTGAGGAATTCCTCATATTTTTCAAAATAATCATTCTAGGGGACATAGAGTGATAGCCCAGTGCAATTTTGGATCGCCATTTTAATGGTAATGGTGTTGCACACCTGTGTATGCATAAATGTATGAGTTGATTGTTTGCCGTAGGAGCTATAGCACATTCTGTCTTAAATGCTGTCTTTTTATGTATAACCCCCCTCCACACACTCTCTTTTTTCTGATTTTTTTTTCTCCCATCTATTGTAACCCTAAATTCCACACGTCCCAGGGTTCAGACCCAGAATGTCAAGACCAATTGCCATTGAATCTGTGCTTAGTGATATCTGAAGTTGTGTGCAACACTCCTGCTGGACCTGTGAGTATTACATTATATGTAAGAAAGACTTTACAGATGTGATAAAATTAGAGAACTTGAATTGTGTTATTTGATTCAACCTGATCACAGACATCGCCAAAAAGGAAGAGAAAGGTCAGAGGGCTGGATTAGAGAGACTCCTGGTGAGGTCCTGACTTACAGTTCTGGCTTTGAATAGGCCTTAGTGAACAATGGCAAAGGAAATGCAGCAGCTTTGGGCAGCCTGGAAAGTTTCTCTGTTGACAGCCAGCGAGGGAGCAGCTACAAAGACATAAATTCTAGCAACAGCAAGAAGTGGGTTCTTTTGTATTATCTCCAAAAATGCCACAGTAGCCTTAAGCTCTGTTCCTTTTATTCCAATTATATTTGTAGCTGAACTGTATAACTTCCAGAATTGTAGGATAATAATTTTGGGTAGTATTGTGATCACTGTTTGTGGTGCTCTATTAGGGCAGCAAAAATAGCAACAAGAAAATGCAGCTGTGTATCATTCCATGGTCATAATGTCCATGGTGGGTATTCTGAAGTTTCTGGCCTGTGTTCATTTTCTGAACGCCACACAGTAAATCCAGTTATGTACTTAACTACTCACTTGAAAGTTAACAAATATCTCTAAGTTGATATGCTTCAAGTGCAATTTCTTGGGGACAATGTGGGCTGCTCTGCTGGCTAGACCTTCACCTCCAAGTTTGGCATCCCATTTGGATACAGGTTTGTATCCTGGTTGTTCTGCTTCCAATCCAGATCCCTCCTTGTGGCCTAGGAAAACGTTAGAGGGATGGCCCAAAGCCTTGGGGCTCTGCAGCTGTATGGGAAACTCAGAAGAAGCTCTTGGCTCTTGGTTTTGGGTGGGCTTAGCCCTGATGTTGCAGCCAATTTGGAATGATTCAGTGGCTGGAAGATCTTTCAGATTATTTCTGCTTCTCTCTGTAAGTCTGCCTTTCCAATAAAAAGTAGCTTAGTTAGAAAAACACATGAAACACAACATTTTACAGTTTCCCATTCCAATGAATTACTCTTACATCCTTCTGCTTGTTCTGGTAATAAAACCTTGGTGCAACCTTAGATTAATTCTTTTTTTTTTTTTTATTGTTGCTTACATTGTATTATGTAGTACAGTTTTATAGGCGCTGGGGATTCCCCCCACCCCTCCCATACCCCTCCCCCCATGGTGGATTCCTCCACCTTGTTGCATAACCATAGTTCAAGTTCAGTTGAGATTCATTGCTTGCAAACACATGCCTAGCATAAAGTTCAGCGTCTTATTGTCCAGATAAGTTCAGTGGCCTCTTGGGGAGACCTTCTATGGTCTGAAGATAGGTCTAACAGGGTAAAGATCCAGTCAGTTAAAAGCCCCAACAAGGCCTCAGTATCAATATACAACATTATGGAATTAATTGACATAGTATTGGGTAAACAATATGTTAAAAATAATGCAAGTTCCATTCTTCGAAACATCTGGGTTGAGACAGTATCAATGACAGGTTCAAAAAATAATAAACAACCAAACAAAAAATTACAGGTTAAATCAAGGCAAACATGTGGTATCTAATCTTTTGGGATTCGCTCATTTCCCTTAGCATTATAGTTTCCAGTTGTGCCCATTTAGCCACAAAGAACTGCATTTTGTTTTTTTTAATAGCTGAGTAGTATTCCATGGAGTAGATGAACCAAAGCTTTCTTATCCAATCTTCTGCTGATGGGCATTTCGGTTGCTTCCATGTTTTTGCAATTACTGATTGTGCTGCAATGAACATAGGGATGCATGTTGGTTTGTCGTAAAACAGGTGTTTTGGATATAATCCTAGGAGTGCTATTGCTGGGTCATATGGTATGCAGATTTTGAGTTGTTTGAGTGTTCTCCAGACTGATTTCCATAAAGGCTGTACCAATTTAGTTTTAATATGTTATGTTGATGCCGTCTTCATTTCTAGGAAATTTTTAATTTTCTCTTTGATTTCTTCTCTAACCCATTGTTCATTCAGTAGGAAGTTTTTCACTTACCAAGTATTTGTATATCTTCTGGGGTCTTTTGACTTGCTGGCCTCCAGTTTCACTCCAGGATGGTCTCAGAGATGCATGGGATGATTTTGATTTTTTAAAAAAGTTTCCGAGGCTTATTGGTGGCATGTAATGTGATCAGTCCTGAAGAAGGACCTGTATAGTGAATTAAAAAAGTATGTTGTATGTCTGTGGAATGAAAAGATCTGTGAATATCAATAAAATCCATTTGTTCTATTATCTGTGTGAGTTTGGTTGTTTCCTTGGTGAGTCTGTCTTGTTGATCAGTCTATTAAGACTAATGGAATATTAAAGTCCCCCACTATTGTTGTATGGGGATGAGTTTCTGCCTTGGTGCATATATATTTATTATGGTAAATTATTCTTTTTTTTAAGATTTATTTTTTATTTTAAAGGCAGATATACAGACAGAAGGAGAGACAGAGAGGAAGATCTTTCATCTGATGGTTCACTCCCCAAGTGACCACAACGGCTGGAGCCGAGCCAATCCGAAGCCAGGAGCCTCTTCAAGGTCTCCCACATGGGTGCAGGCTGGCTTTGGGCCATCCTCAACTGCTTTCCCAGGCCACAAGCAGGGAGCTGGATGGGAAGCGGGGCTGCTGGGATTAGAACTGGCGTCCATATGGGATCCTTGCACATGCAAGGCGAGGACTTTAACCACTACCCTATTGCACCGTGCCGGGCCCGATTATGGTAAATTATTCTTATTGAATGGATCCTTTAATCATGATGTGGTGTCCTTCTTTCTCTTTTAATGAATTTCATGTCAAAGTCTATGATATGTGAGTACTCCAGCCATTTTTCCTTTCCATTAGCATGAACTAACCTTTTCCATGCTTTCTAAATATTTATTTATTTTTATTTAAAGTCAGATTCACAGAGAGAAAGAGACAGAGAGGAAAGATCTTCCTTCCTCTGATTCATTCCGCAAGTGGCCGCAATGGCTGGAACTGAGATGATCTGAGGTTCCTTTAGGTCTCCCATGCGGGTGCAAAGTACCAAGGCTTTGATTCACCACCAACTGCTCTCCCAGGCCACAAGCAGGGAGCTGGATGGGAAGCAGGGCAGCAAGGAATAGATCCGGTGCCCATTTAGGATCCTGGTGCATGCAAGGTGAGGATGAAGCCTGCTAGGCTTTTGCCCGAGGCCCTTTCTACCCTTTCTGTTTTACTTTCCGCATATTTTTTTTCGGGGCGAGTGAGATTTGGGTCTGGTAGGCAACAGATTGATGGCTTTTGTTTTTTGATCCATTCTTCTAATCTGTGATATTTGGTTGATGAATTTAAGCCATTTACATTCAGAATTATTATCAATAGTAGTGATTTTGTCCTGTCATTTTAACCATGTGCTGTTCAGTGTTTGAATCAGTCTTCTGTTGTTTTATTGGGGTTGCCTACTATTTCCCTCCTAGGCCACTCCCACTCCTAGATTATGCACTTTCCAGGTGGTTCTGGCATTTAACTTAACAGAATTAGTCCCCAGTGCCAGCCTCTGCCAGTTGAAGCTGTGGCAAAGCCCAACCAACCCTCACCCACTCTAATTTATGCTCTTCAGTAGGAAAAATCAGCCCAGCCAGGCTTATTCCTGATCTAGCTCACATGAGGCCCACAGATGTTGTAGCCCTGCCTGGTCTGTTCTGCCCCCATCCCAGCTCACACTCTCCAGTGGGAGCAGCTGTCCAGCAGGGGAGCCCTCCATATTCCCTTTACCAGCTTTACCTGCTCTCTCCCTGGTTTCTACATGTGCTCATTGGGCACTGCAGCCCAGACTGGTATGACCCCCCTCGCCTTGGCCTTTGCCAGTGGTGCTTTAGGCTGGCCTGGCCCAGTCCACCCCCAAATCAAACTATAGCCTAGCCCAGCCCACCAGGCGCCCAATTGCAGCTGTAATGTGTACTGGTATATGTTGCAACCATACCTGGCCCGACACACACTCTGTTCTGGCACTTGGATTCGCCAGTGGGTGATGTGAACTGGCCCTGCCTGGTCCACCTCCGACCTGTGCCGAATGTATGCTGGTGGGTATCTTTCTCTGGCCTGGTCTGGGTTGCTCTCTATTGTGGTTCTTGCACTCACCTGCAGGGACTGTTTCCCGACAAAGGAGTTTCCCAAGCTCCTCCATCAGAACCTCTTCCAATGCTAGATCTCACGCATACTGGTGGGTCCATGAACCAGCCCTACTTACTCTACCTCCTGTCCTAGCAATGACAGTGGTCTTTCCTGACTGGTCGTCAACCCATTCTGGTTCATACTGTTGGATGTTCACTTCTAACCTGATCACAAGATGATACCTAATGCTCAAGCTGGCCCCAATCAGCCCATGCAAAGGAAATGAGCAGCCCCCTAAATTAGGGGAGTACTTTGCACTTCTTCCTACAGGAATGCACTCCAGGTACTGGCCATGTGCAAACACCGATGTTCTCTGTTGCTCTGTGTGAATACGCATTCAGGGCTGCAATATCACTGCCACTGTCCCTTTTGGAAATGTCTGAGCTATAAACAACCTGTGTGTCTCCCACATTTGCTCCAGAGAAATAAGAAGGAGACTGAGATAGTGGGACAGCAGGAGTTGCAGAGGGGAGCTGCACTGTGGTGTACTTCAAGTAGGACAGCTCTACAAGACTGAGGCTGTTCTGGGATGAGGGTGCCTGAGAGAGAGCTGATCAACAGAAAGCCCTCACCTCCATGAGCATGTTTCTTTGCCCCTTTGTGAGTCACACGGGGAAGTAAGAGGTGGTCAAGGACTGGGAGCCGAGTGAGGACCTCTCTTGCCAAATCCCCAGAGCTAGCTGAAAAGCAGCTTCCCTCCTTCCTTTGTTCCCTGCAGGATGGGGGCAAGAGAGGGTCCTAAATGGTCCTGAGGACTTGTCCTGATCCAGGCATGTGAGCTGATACAAGCGCTGGGGCTCCTGGACGTGGGGTGCCAAGGGAATCAGGAGGTAAAACAACACCACCAACCCAGGGAATCACAGGCTGGAC